GATCTTGAAGTGCGTGGTCGGAGTCTCAGTTGTTTGCTTAGAATGCTCTTCGAATTATGGCAGTTGTGAGCCATTTATAATAATTATTTATATTTTTAAAAATTCTTTTCTTAATAATTCTTGAGACTTCAATTTATTTTTTTTTTTGCTACTTCAAAATATGTCTTGATCTTCTTACCTTCTTTTCTGTGTGTTACTAGTTATCACGTCGGGGTCACCAAAATATGGAGGCTTGGTCCATATTAAATACCAAAATGATAGACAATAATAAATTTCATAAAATATTATTTATATTTCGTTTATTTTATATATGATTAATATCCACGACACTATGTGTTGTCATACTAATCGTTAATAAAATGTTATTGGTATTTTCGTATTTATAATTGAAAAGAAAGGTTTTAAGAATCATACATTTTAGGCAAATTCGACTAGGGAGAAACAAAAGCCGTGTCCGATCTGACACTTGAATTTCCTTTTGTTTTTCTCAGTGCTGTCACTATATGGGCCAATCTGTCCAGAGACATGTGATGCGTGTTGACGAGCCGCGATGCGTGTTGACAACCCGCTATACATTTTTAAAAAAAAATTACTTTAAAAAATAAAATTTTTGAGAAACTATAAATTGGACAAAAAATTACTTTTTTTTTGAAAAAAAAAATTTTAGAAAAATTTTTTTTTTTTTTTTAATTTTTTTTTTAAATAAATGTTTTCTTCATTTTGGCATATTTTGGAAGATCTGAACTTTTTTTTCAAAGCAATCGTACTGCTTTAACTGCATAGAGACAAAATGTCAAAGCGCGTATGCTCCGCGTCGCCGTCTAACGAATAAACATTGGTACGGAACCCATAGGAATGCAAACAAAATTTATACTTATTGTTAAAATCTCTATAAAATATCTGATAATTTGATGTGCATATGTCTAATGATCATTTTTGACCGACAAATGGCATTTTTTTTTACTTTTTTTGTTAGATCTCCGAAACCACTAGACCTGCCCTCATGAAAATTTGATCAATTCTTTATCTTGTCAATACAAATAAAATGTTTTTGAATTTTTCAAATCGGACGCTCCGTTCTCTTAAAAACTGAGTTACCGTTTTCGGCACTTTTTGCCCTGTATCTCCGGAACGGCTAGACCTGCCTTTGCCAAAAACTAATCAGCACATCTCCTTATCAATACAAATCGAATGTTTTTTAAATTATTCAAATCGGTTGATCCGTGTTCCCGAAATCGATGACGAAAATTTGTATCCGCACATACATACACACACGCACATACACACACACATACACACGCACACACATACATACATTTTTTTTAAGGTATGCCATAATGTTTAGAAACCTTTGAAACGTAAAGATATATAAAAATTTTCATTTTCGATTTTTTTGCGATTACTATAACTTGCCCTACGGGAAGTTAAATATATATGTAGGGTAGGGCGGGGCACAAGGACTTGAGCAAATATAAATAATATTGTGAAAACCAAACCAATTATATCACAATAAATAACAATAACAAAACAACCAATAGGTGATCAGTGCAGAATCAACACATATATATTATGGCTGATACTGCTGGGGATAATTTCAGCAATTTTTCAAGCAATATTTTATAAATGATCATTGTTTTGGAGATTAATATTGGTATCTAAACGTGCAATTTTTGTCTTAAAGTCGATTATAAACGGCTGCACCAAAAGTAGAACGCTCTAATATAAAATCATCAAGAAAAGAAAATAAAAAATATAATTATAAAAATAAAAATACATCTGTATGTTGCTGGGATATCAGATTGATAGTAAAAATCTTATCTCTAATTTATTTCAAAACTTTAAACGCGTTTTTTTCGAAACACGATTTTACAAAATAACTACAACAATTTGATTTTTTTTCATTCGATTTTTCTACAGTATATTTAAAAATACAGCAGATCTTTCTATATGTTGATTTGGTCATTAATTAATAACAAATTACTATATATGTTTTTCGTTGAAATTCAACGATTTTGAATAAAGTGCTCGCCAATCAGAGAAAAATCGATATTTTTTAAACCCGCTATGACGGGCACTTTAAAATGTTATTTTAAATATACTATTGACTATTCGAATGAAAGAAATTAAAATTATTGTAGTTATTTTGCGTGCCGCGGATTCATGCCAATATTAGCAAATATCGGTCAGCAAATGAAATTAATCAATTTTGACACCAATGAATTTTGTCAATTTGAAAGTAATTATGTCTATAGATAATTCTGGCTATTGTAGATCAATGCATTTTGTACATACGCTGGCTAGTTAACTTTAAGTAGATGTTTATCATTATTCACTGATATTGATATAGTATTTTAAGATAGATAGATATTCTGATAACATTTTAAGAAGCATATAAAACACTCAATTGATTCAAATCCTTAAATATCTCAACACATTCTTCAATTTAATTAAAAACACCATTTCTTGTGAAAATGCCTTTATTTCATATCATGTTAGATTAGCAATTCAAAATTTCATTCCAATGCCTTTGAAAATATTTCATAATGATCCAATTAATATATTAAACAAATACAAAATTTCATTTATAAAATAATTTATAGAATAAAGTTTTGAATTGTGATTGATTTTAGTCACCTCAATGTTGTATTTTGAGTTTGTTACTCTTCAACATATTTACTATGAAAAAAAAAATACTAAAATTTATGAGTCTCATAACAAAATATTGAAGTTTTCATAATAAACCGAAGAAACTACTTTTATTACTCCATTATAGTATTTTTAAAAATTAAACTTCTTCATTATACTTTAACGCTTTTACTATGAGAATGTAACAATTTGTAAATGAATTGTAGTAAAAGTGTCCTCGACAATTTTTTCGAATAACTTAACAAAATTTAATTTAGAAAATTTTTAAAGCTACATAATTTGTACTAAAATACTAAAATTTGAGGGTGTACTTTGATGAGAAATACTAAAATTGATGAGCCTCAGAACAAGAAATTTGAAAATTGATATTTTTTTTTTACAAATTATCAGTGACTAATACTCAATGAAAATAAAAAGCTTATTTGTGGTTTAAACTAGTGGGGCGCGTGGCATCGTGTTTTAAGGCAAAGTACCAAAAAATTTTTTTTAAAAGATTAACATTTTTGAAAAAAAAATTCTCTGAAAAAATTAGATTTTTGAGATACTATAAATTTTTGACAAAAATTTACTTTTTTTTTGAAAACAAAGACTTTTTGGAGAAAAATTTATTTTGAAATAATTTGGAAATTCTGAATTTTTTTTCAAAGCTATTGTACTGCTTTAACTGCATAGTGAAATATTGAAGCGCGTAAGCGCCGCGTCGCCGTCTAACAGATAAACATTGGTACGGAACCCATGGGAATGTAAACAAAGTTTATGCTTATTGTTAAAATCTCTATAAAATATCTGATAATTTGATATGTCTAATGATAATTTTTGACCGCCAAATGGCATTTTTTTTACTTTTTTTACTAGATCTCCGAAACCGCTAGACCTGCCTTCATGAAAACTTGGGCAGTTCTTCATCTTGTTAATACAAGATATTTTATAGAGGTTTTAATAATGTGTACACATTTTGTGTAATTTTTTTTAGGTTCCGTAGCAAGATTTTTAATTACGGTACGGGAAATTCCGGCAATTTGCCTTAAGGCACGATGCCATGCACCCCACTAGTTTATAATTTTTTTTTAAAGTTATATAATTTGCTCTAGAATGCTAAACTTCAATGTGTTACTTTTTAATAAGTGTATATATATATATATATATATATATATGTATGTATATATATATATATATATATATATATATATATATATATATATATGTATATATATATTAGGGCGGGTCGATTTGAAGGTCACTTAGGCACATATGATTTTTAGATACTAGGGATTAAAATAAGATACTTTGCTGAAGAAACCATACATCTGAAATGAATTCTGATGTCCCGTGCATTAACCCAAAAATAAGGGTTGAATGTTGAAAAACCGCTCAGGGGAGGTCCCAGGGGATGAACTACGGGCATGGGTGAATCGGCTTTCCAAAGATAGTGAGGGTCGGTCATACATTTGGACGCAATTGGGGCACTCTAAATGGATCAAAATGGAATTTTTTTCTTATTTTTGGGATCATTGCACGGGACATCAGAATTCATTTTAGAGGTATAGTTTCTTCAGCAAAGTATCTTATTTTGATCCCTAATATTCAAAAATTATTCGTGCCTAAGCGACCTTTTTTGACCCGTACAAATCGACCCGCTCTAATATATATATATATATATATATATATATATATATATATATATATATACACGTGCGGACTACACTGCATTGTAACCTTGATCAATGTCCACAATGCAATGCTAACAATAACATTAAATATAGGAGGGCAATATCTGCTCCTTCTATTTCTCGTTTGTTAATATAATAGTATTTTATTATTTTACACAAATTTAGTGTTCAATCAATTTTACATCATAATTAATTTTTTCTGTTTTGTTTTTCCTGGTTTGGTATGTATAATTTCCTCCTTTTATATATTTATATTTATCATTAACTGTGTATTTATGTTATATGTTTTTTTTAGATTACTGAATGATGACACAGATCAAGTGTCGAAACGTTTAATGGAATAAATCATTTTGTTATTTAATCTTTTTTTTTAATTCGACGGTTGGGCTGCAAAAATATTACAAATATATATCAACGTAGACAAAACTATCATCATATAAATATATATATATATATATATATATATATATGTGTGTGTGTGTGTGTGTGTGTACGTAAATGTATACCAGCGTAGCTTTTCAGTACAAAGTCATCATAGTGAGACAGGTAAACAAGCAGCGATTTTATTCTAAAAAAACGTGTAGATATTATGGAGTTATATCTCTGATAAGAAACAATCGTCGAAAGAATATGTTCGCTGTCGTCTTACTCGACATTTTCAATCACACACTGATCCTAGTGAAGCGCCAACGTCTATTTAAAATTTTGATATGCAATTTGTGTTAAATGCGTTGTAAAGAAAACTATTTATACCTATTTACTGTTGTCTTTATTTTGCTTCATATTGTATTTTTCGGTATCCATAAATATCGTTGTTTGTGAAAATTTGTGTGAAAAAGTCTATTAAGGTGAGTGCTATTATGTAGTGATACCAGAAAATAATTCTTTATGTATAGCATATTATTTTATTGTGACAATGCAGGAAAGGGATTCTTTCCACTTGGATTTCTCAGTTATATCATATTAAATCATAAATCTCAGTCTTTTAATTAAGTAGGGTCTTTAATAACATATTTATTACGAAAAAATGCAACTAATCACAAAACCAAGTTTGTCCAAGCAGTGCATAATATAAGTATATCATTTTATCTAAAAGTTAACAGAAATGAATATATAATCAAAATTCCATCAAGCACCTGATAATTGTAACAAAATTGAATAAAATCACTAGTACTGGACATGAGTTGATAAATTTTGATAGAAATAGTTACAAATACCAATAAATATGTCTTCAAAAACTTGAGAAAAACACTCTCAAAATTAGCTTCTGGTATTTATTGACTTTCCGGGTGGGGTAAGTTATAGTAATCGTTCAAAATCGAAAATGAAAATCTTTGCATATCTTCACGTTTTGAGGGTTTGTGAATATTTTGGTATACCTTAGAAAAAATTGATGTGTCTTTGTATGTGTATGTATGTATGGATACCATTTTATGCTCACGTTTTCCGTTGCACGAATCAACAGATTTGAATGATTCAGAAAACATTCGATTTCTGTTGATAAGGATATGTACTGATTAGTTTTTAACAGAGGCAGATGCAGCCGTTTCGGAGATTTTATTATCAATTTTCAAATCTAATTGCTACATTTTAATTATTTTATTAATAGAATATACCAATACTGGTTTATTTTTATGATATCTGATTAATTTTTTTTATATTCACTTAAGATTATGAAATATGTGTTATTATTGATTTTAATTATTCAATTGCATTAATAACTAATTTATAATTGCAATAAAGTAAAAATATGTTTCAACCTTTAAGTTCATAATCGATTATTAAAGAAGCGGTAACTTAATGTATTAATGATTGTCCTATCTATATTTGAAATATATTTCATTAATTTTTTTCAACAAATTGTATTTATATTTGAATAAATATATTTTAACTGAATGTAAGATTGTAGGGAATAGTTATTTTTACACATAATCAAGGGAAAATAGAATATTGCTTGATATCAAATTTTCTAACACGTGGGTTGTCTCTTTGAATCGAAATTAATATTCACGTTTCACGTTTTCTAATTTCAATTATTGAAAAATTATTAGGTATTAAAAAAGGTCTTAAACGTATTTAGAAAAACTGAAATTAAATATTTTTTTTATAAATATATAAATAATAATTGGAATTCATTACTCTGAAAATGATTTATCTTTCGGAGGCAATTACATTTAAAATATTAATTACATTTTTAAGAAAACATATAATCATTTAATCTGTCTGCAAACAATAGTCTACTCTTGTATACAAAGTGATCACAATGCAAATTGTAATTATTTGAATTGCAACTATGTTAGACTCTTAGTATTAAATTGAGGTAAATATCATATTATACATCATTTTTAATGAGTGAAGAGTTCATGTTATATTAGATAAATTATTGAAATAATTTTCAAAATTACTTTTAGATAAGTTAAATATAAAATTCTATATGATAAAGAGAAAATCATAGATAATTATGACCAATTAAAACCTCTATTTGCGTAATTCTGTAATGATATTATTTTTAATATATTAAAAATTTAAATATTGAACAAGTAATGTTTTTACGTGATATGTGCTAAATACCGCGTGCATTATTGTTGTCTGAAAAAAGTTACTAAAATACATGAATGGTTTAAATGGTTCTCCTTGTTTTTAATACATAGATTTTGTTTCCAATTGATTTGGGAGACTTGTTGATAAGTTTTTGGAAAAGACAGCTCTGGCCCTTTCGTAGAATCAAAGCAAAAAGTATAATAAATTGGAATTTAGTTATTGCAAAAACGGAGCATCCGATTAAATTGATTCGGAAGGCATTCGAGTCGTATTGGTGGCGAGACGTGTTATTTAGTTTTTGGCAAAGTCAGGTCCAGCTGTTTCGAAAATAGAAAACAAAGAATGCAAAAAATGGCCATTTTTTGAAAGAAAGGGTTATCAGATTCGAATGATTAAAACTGGCCGGAGTAAATAATTGATTACATTTTTGCAAGTTGAAACAATTTTTTTTTCCAAAATCAATTATTTTGTTAAGACAAGCAGAAAGTTCTTTGAATCATTTAAATCGGACGCTTTGTTCTCTCAAAAACTGCAATTTTTTACACATTTAGCTCCGTAAATGGCTGGGTTTGCCTTTGCCAAAACTAATAAACACTTCTCCCAATCATTACTAATTGCATGTTTTTTAGATCATTCAAATCGGTTGCTCCGTTCTCTCAAAAACTCGATTTCTATTTTCTGCACTTATTGCTCTTTAATTCCGTAACTGCTGGACCTGCCTTTGCCAAAATTACCCTACGGGAAGTTAACAAGTAGACAGGTAGGCAGATGAACAGGTAGACAGGTAGACAGGTAGGCAGGTAGACAATAAAGGAGATAGTAAGACAGTCAGATTGACAGACAGATATTTTGATATAAATATACAGGTAGACTTGTAGAAGAATGGACTCGTAGATAAGTAAACAGGTAGAGAGATAAAAAATAAGTAAGCACGGGTAGGAAGGTAGACGGGCAAATAGCTTGATAGGTAGACAGGTAACTAGATAGATAGGTAAATGGGTAAATAGGTAGGCGGATACAAAAGTAGACAAGTTAAAAGTTAGACAGATAGACACTGAGACAAATCATGTACTTGTTCTGTATTACTTAAGTAACAGAATGATGAATACACCCAGATATTCTAATTATTAATGTTAGTGGAATTTTGCATAAACTTCTCGATATGTATATATGATCTAAATTGGTATTTGATCTGCCTCACTATCTGTCTAATTTTTAACTTGTGTACTTGTGTATCCGCTTACCTATTTACTCATTTACCTGCCTACCTATCAACCTATTTGCCCGTCTACCTTCCTACCCGTCGACGAGCTTACTTGTCAATTACGAGTGAATTTTTTACCTGACTACCTGTATATATATATATATATATGTTTATATATATATATGTTTATATATATATATATATATATATATATAGATTAATAACGGTTTCATATGCTATATTAGGATACAAAATTGTAAGTGTTTTATTATTATTATTATTATTATTATTATTATTGTTTTTCTATGAAATTTCTTACATATAACTTATTTAGTTTCAATTTCTATAGTTAATTTGATTACTACTGGATGATGGCTAAGATGCTAGCCGAAAAGTATGGATTTTAAATAAATAAACTATAAAAAAAATTCTCATACTATTTTTATTGATGTTACGCCCGAATTTTAAACTCAAATTAAACATATATATATCAACATCAAACTCATGACTATTCAAATATATATATATATATATATATATATGTATATCAATCTATCTGTCTGTCAACCTGACTATCTGACTATTTTCTTTATTGTCTACTTGTCTACCAGTCTACCTGTTCATCTATCGACATGTCCACTTGTTTACCGTTACGTTGGAAAATCAATTGATTTACCAATATCTGTTATACAGCGTCCATTCAATTTAAATATATTATTTTTTTGTTACTGTTTTTTTTTTTAATTGTTTTGTGATATTTTAACTGAATAATGACACATAAAGTGTCGAAATTTATAGATAAATTTAATTTATCTGGTTGAAAATAGCCCCTATCCGAAAAATCATCGGAATTGATATAAGTGTAAATTATAAATAAAATACAAATAATAGATCGGTTCATCAATAATAAATTATTGATCGGTTGATCAATAACAACAAAATAAATCTTCTGCGTTCTGAAAAGCCTTAGTTAATTTAACAATTAACTCTTATGAATTATAATCATAAAAATTTTTAATTCAAGAACACACTTAAAGTATCAATAAAATCCCCCTTGACACGATTAATATTTTTGTAATTTATATTGCAATATCACAGCGAACACAATTTAATAAAATTCAACGAATAATGCAACCACTTGACAAATACACTATTGTTTATTTTGTTATAAAACTGAGATATGTGAGAAATGGAATATTCTGAAATGATGAAGGTCGTTTAATCAGATTGTGTTCCGCTATCAATGCGCATCAACGAAAACAAAAACGGTTAATTGGCGTCATTTCTGACAACATTAAAGAACATATTTATATACCAGATTATTTTCATGAGCATTGCACATTGTTTACGCCATAATATATGGAGTTCTAGTAGAAACTAGTTGGTATTGGTATTATGCCTTGAGGCAAGTTACATGAACTTCCCGATATGTGTAAATAATCGACTTAATCTATAAAAAATAAATTAATGTATGAGGGATTAAAAGTATTTCGAATGGATTCATTACACATAATTGAAAACAAACGAACACGTTAACTCGGGGTATTTTCTAACAGGACATTTTCAAAAATCAACCATTTTTATAATTGAACCAGTTTCCGTACAATTTTAATGGTTTAGTATGTTCGTTAAGACCAAGTACTCTATCGTTATACCAAGTAAATCGTCTAATTTTAATTTGACGTGGTTGTACTGGTTCTGGTTTGTACAATTTTTCAATGTGTTACACAAATTACAACATTAAACAAAACGCACTATCCGAAAACAATAATTGAAAAATTATTTTATCCTTTTTAGCTAATAATAAAAAATTATTTAGCATATATTAATATACATTGTATACTAAGCCAATATGAGTAGAAGCACTAAATTTCTTTTTCGATATTTCTTATGGTTACGCCAAAAATTGAGTTTAGGAAAGGGGCCACTTTGGCATATTTTCAATGATATCTCGGCCATAATGTGAGATACAAAGTTGAAGTTTGGTATATCGGATGTTTTCAAAAAGACCTTCAAAATGGCGTACAAATTATTTAAATACAAGGGTGTTAGTCGATTATGTATGGCAATGCGCCATACTGGCAGACCCTTGCAACCGTCAGAATGGGCTGGCTTTTTACATATGCTTTCTGAACAGTTAAAAGATTACACCCTCAAAATTTGAGCCTTGTGGGAGCAAGTTATGAAAAAAAATTTTTTTTGACATTTTTACAAATTGAAGGGATGATGACGCAATCGCGGAATGACTGCTAGAATGGTACTTTCTTCATACGTCGATAATAAAATATAATTAAAAAAAATTCTAGCTTTGAGAAAACAGTTTAGTCGAATAGTTCACTGGCTCTTAGACTAAAACTAGAGATTATAAAAACAACAAAACGTGTTACAAAACACTTAATCTATTAGGCTCTATTTTCAAATATTGTAGTTAATTTTTTTAACTTTTCTTGTTTTTGAGATATTAGCGTGACCTTTTTACCTAAGATCAATAAGCGTCTTTTACCTTATATTTCCTTTTGCCCCATAGCCTTGGTAATTTAAAAGGAAATTTAAGGAAGGAATAATCCTACGAGCATCATAAATCTAGCTGTGATGGGTTTTTCTGTTTTACTTATCACGATCTCTTTGTTTCTTAGAATACAATTATTACAAACAAGGCAAATACAAATTACTTATTTACATCTTTTCAAACAATTAATTAACGTATACTAATTATAAATATGTAAATATTATATTCAGGTATCGCAAACTAACAAGAAAAAGAATACTCTTGTTAAAAAATAGGCAATACGGTAAGGCGATGTCTGGCTAAACAAATTTTGACCTCTACTTTATAATAGTATTGCTAGAAAAGTTTATGTAGAAAATAAGCATATTAAAAGATTGAAGGACGATTTTTATTACTGAGTAAACCAATGACTAGAATAAAATCTTAAATAGAATGCCAATAATAGTATATAGACACTTTATAAGTGAACTTCTATATGCAAACGGAAATCATTATTTTCTTTCCCATATTCGCTTTCACCTTAAATATAGAATTTTATATGTTTTTTTATTATGTTGGTACGTTCAGTATCGATAATTATTTAATTTATATTTTTAACTAGTGGTGCATCGTGCCTTAAGGCAAATTGCTGGAACTTCCCGTACCAGAATTATTCGAGGGGAAAAAATCAGCAATCAATAAATATTGATCAATGATTAATAACAATTATTTAAACATTTAAAATAGATAATTATAATCACTATATATTTTATTGTTCATAAAATATACAGTGACGATCTTATCGCTCAAAACACTTGAGAAAGTTTACATTAGCAAGAGGTGCTGAATAAATCCATCTGAGGATATATTTCTTACAAATAGAATAACGCATTTGAAATATATACATTTTAAAACTGAATTATAAATTTGAAAATTATATTTTAAGTATAAAACTTTGTAAATTTTTGAAAAAAAAAAATTCGAAAAATTTTGAAAACTTAAAGTAAACTTTAAAAATTAACAATCTTGGTACGGAACCCAACAAAAATGTAACAAAATTAGTACTAATTTATGAAACTTTTATGAAACATGTGAAAATTTAATGTGCAAATATGTAATGATCATTTTTGACCGCCAAATATCTTTTTTTTTTACTTTTTCCTCTGTATCTCCGAAACCGCTAGACTTGCCAAAAATTTCTACAACTCTTTGTCAATACAAGTAAAATATTCTTTTAATCATTCAAGTCGGGTACTCCGTTCTCTCAGAAACCAAATTACTGTTTTTGGCACTTTTTGTCAAACGGCTAGTTACCCCAAAAATTAATCAGCACGACTTTTCATCAATAGGAATCAAATGTTTTTTGAATCATTCAAATCGGTTAATTCGTGCGCCCGAAATCGTGGACGAAAAATTGTATTCAAACATATACAGACACACATACGATCGTACATCCATTTTTTCTAAGGTTTGCCAAAATGTTCAGAAACCTTCAAAACGTGAAGATATGGAAAAAGTTCCATTTTGAATTTTTCGAAGATAAAAACTACAAATTATAAATAAGTTTCTTATCGAACAGTATTTTTGATCATATTTTTTAAAATTTCAATTTATAGTTTAAGTAATTTATCAATTTTACACCAATTCTGCAGGATTAAACAAATATTTAAAATTTGTTCAAAATTTGATAATTGATCTTGATAACACGAAGAACTGAAGAACATTGTAGTTTTACATCTGCTGTTAAGTAAGTACAGATTTATTCAACTCAATATGTATAGATACTGCAATTTTAAAATATTTGCACTTCAAGCAAAAACCGGCAGTGCATTTTCTATCAGTAAAAATTATTATCTTTCGATAATGACTTCAATCAGTATTAAAGTCGCTTATTTAATTAAGTTTATCTAACAATATTAAAACTTGTTCAATATAAGAGCTTGGCATTCATATAATTTGAATTACCTCTAGAGTTTTGTATATATAATAATGTTTTTGTTTATTTTTCAATCAACCGTTTTTGAAGTAAAACTTTTTTAGGCGCGACTGGGGTGTAAATTCGTACAAATGCAACGGAAGTATGTTACGCCCGAACTGTTAGCTCTCGATCATTTCTATACGGGTCGATTATGATTAGTCGTCATGTTGAGTGAATAGAGATCTGTCGTTGTATGCGAACCGGCATCTACGTTGTATGCATACCGATATCAACAAGGAAATCGGCTTAGATAAATAAACATTTTAAAGTTATATCGTAGTACAAATCTTGATTTAATGAAAAATGTCTGAATCAGAAGAATATTTTACCCTGTTCCTTGAAAATATTAAAACAAATTAAACATTTGTGCCGTGTATTAAACGTAAGTTCGTTGATTAGAAATTATTTCTATATCATTCGTAGTTTCTATAAATTCCTAGTTTGAAGTTATTAAAATGGAAAATATTTTTTAGGCAAGACAGATATTACAGATGTTCAAAGAATGAGATTATATCGCGAAAAAGTAAAAAAATAGAAGCAGTCAATAAATGTATGTTAATTTTAATTACATGAAGTTCTTCAAACACTATTACATGATGAGTGAAGTTGCGCCTGAACGCCTGAACAATACTCGTTCAGGCGTTGTTTAACATAACGGACATTATAGAATTTATTTATCAGCAATTACTTCATTTCTCTAATGAAGGTTCATTTCTAAATTCTAAATCACAATGACAAACCGATCATATCATATTTGAAGTATGACTTTAATTACATTATTGTTTTTACATATTATACATATTTTTAATGCTATTATAAATATATAATTTATTTATATTTATTTATTTATAATATTTATTTTTACTTAAATGCCATCTTGTACAGTAGCAAATAAGTTTAACTTCAATCGCGTGTGAACTTTACGCGCACTCTTTTTTTTATACCTCAATATTACTTATATTGAGATATAATGTTAAAATTTCATTTTGCCTTAGAACATCAGTTTTTTTTATTTGACTGTGTTATTCTGATTCGATTTAATAATTTGTGATTATTTTTATTAAATTTGTTAGTTAGTTGGTTGATAATAATTGATTAGCTGAATAAATTTGTTTCATTTTCAGCATCTTCAAGTTTGGTATGGCTAAACCTCACCTGAAGAAAGTAGCGTTCCTGAGGACCCGCTATGTCACAGCACTAAAATTAAGATTTTTCTTCTTTGTGACAATACCAGTTTGTTATTTGGTATTTACAGCGTTAACAAAACAATCCGTTTCTTCTGAAGATATTGAATATTACCCGCAGACACCAGAAAGTAAGTATACGTATAAGTATTAAGCAGCACAAACAATTGTGAAATTGAAGATATATCGTTTAATTTAATTAATCATCTTAAATATATACATGAAACGCGGACGCCAGTGTAACGATACACGTTCTATGAGAATCATACAATGAGATTCGAGGAAAAGACCTTTTTAGTGGCCATGAAATGTTAAATTTGATAAATTTTTACTCAATGGGATCTTATGTATTGTTAGTCGTCGGTTTGCATCAACTAATGCCTTTCTGGCGTCTTTATTAGCTTCAGCCGAACTTCCTGGTCTTGGAGCATCTTGGACATCAAAATACCAGGAATGAAATTTAGTAAACTAATTTTGGCATTGTCGTACTATTAACACGTCATTACTGTACACATCGATCAATTTTATTTTGACTTAAACAGTTTGTTTTCTTTTCTATAGCAAATTTTTCCATATTCAAAGTGGCACCATCGAAAGACTACTGCATGTAGTTGATTAGAATTTGTTACACACAAGCCTTAAAATATAAGGTTTCAAATCATATATCAATTATAGGACTTAAGTGTGATGTTACGTTCAAAAAATATAGTTAAATTCTTGTAGTAAAAAAACAAAGTGACTTTCCGAACAACCTTATAGTTTATGCAATATCTCAAATACAAATACACTTAGTCTTTCGTAAAATATTGACAAGAAACGTTAAAGTAAGATTCTTATGTATTAATGTTAATGAATCTTTTATTAACAATGTCTTACAATTAATTTTCTTGTTAGGGTTTGTTCAAGAGATGCGTTACTGAAACACACATTCAAGTAGTAGCATAATTCAAAGTTTGGAAGCCCGAAAAATGTTTTGGTATTGTTGGCAAAAAACTATTCCAAGGAGTTCTTAAGCTATTTTTTGTGGCGAAGATCACAAATTCAATTCGGTTGACCAGTGCTTCCAAAAACGTCGACAAAAAATTGCATCCATACTTACATACATAGCACATACACTCATACACACACATCTATTTTTTCTAAAGTATCCCAAAATGTTCAGAAACTTCTAAAACGTGAAGATATGAATTTTTTTTTGCGATTACTATAACTTACCCTACGGAAAGTTAAATATAGTAAATTTTGCAATATATTAAAAGTACCCACGTATTGTGTTTTACGCACCACTTCTGTGTATTTTATAATTATATAAATGGCCTATTTCTCAACTATATTATTCAAAACGTTTTCTGAATTTCAATAAGGTTTTCCAAGTAAAGTAGGGTGTACCCTAAAACTTTAACATAATAAATTGTAATTGGCTTTCCAATGGCTTAGTGTTGGCTTACCATCCAGAAGGATTTAAGTACGGTATTTAATTCGAATAGCCTGATGTCAAGCAGTTATGGCATCAGTCTGTCCAAATATAGATGGAAATCCAATATGGATGAAGATATATTTTTACGTAAAATAATAGCTTTTTCTCAGCATTGGTATCTAAATTTTAATAATCAGAACAAATCAAATATGCACAAAACAAGCCTTGTGTTGCCTTATAAAAATATATGTCGTTAATAAATATTATCACTAAACTGCTCATATGTCTCTTAACATCTAATTGAAGTTTGTAAAATAATAATTAAGGAATAAAACTTCTAGATGAGATTCTGGTAACTGGTTCCAAATTGAGACTCAAAGTTTGAGTATTTATTACTTGTCTCTAAAATTTAACCATTTGGATTAAATACTATTGGTTGTTGCTACTAAAAACCCGAAGTCCACATAACCTCAATTAACATATTGAACTTTGGTTGGAGTTTTTCAAACACATGGTTGACTCATGATTAAATTTTAGTCATCAATTATAAATTGGATCAGATTAGAAGATTTTATAGATTGTTTCTGTGGTAACATGTTAAGCATAGATTTCATTATCCAATTATCACGTGAAAATCAGTTTGAATTGCTCATTTTGATATTTAATTAGTAGATTTGAAATTTTAGGAATTTAATTTGATAGAGCACGTTGAATTTGATAATATGTTCTTGATAGTGAAGCACGCTCTGATACTTGATAATTTAAATAAATGATTAAATATCCTGATTGTAGAAGATCAAGAGTAAGACCTTGAAAACCCTCGCATTATAAAACTGTTGATAAGTCATATCTAAATAAAATAATTAATTTATGGAATTAATTAAATATATAGAAAGATGTTTCTATGCTTATATTAAATTTCGTTGATTATAAAACTTTACCAAATATCATGACCATTTGTTTCTTTCAAATTCCGCCTAGCTCACTTGATTCCCACACATACTTCCTGCTTAGTGTTGACCTCACACTAGTTCAAAGGCAGATTGGTGAAAAGGCAGATTGTATCAGCGTTGTGAATTTGACATCATTTAGTATGTGAAATTTTACACAAATTTATGAAGGTATAAACACAATAGTAGTCCACCACAACTGGATAAGATTCATCTGGCCTAATCATCGAAGTTAGTAAAACATTATACGAACTTGTCGATGGAGCATATCGGATAGTTTCCTTTCCACGGAAAACATCTTAGATGAAGTATCTAAATCCAGTTCTAAGAACAACATACAATCCCGATCCAGTTCCAAAGACTTAAGCATCAAAAAGACAAATTGTTGAGTTATAGGACAAGGAGAGGTTGAATCACGATTTCAATGAACTTGTTGGTGGTGATTTTAGTTTATGGCCCAAAGTCTTGACGTAAATAGGCTGGTAAAAGACTAGTAGTCAGAACTAATGACTGCCAGCGATAACCCGAGGTCTGGACATACTGAATAAGTATGCCGACGGAAGTCCGGTATCAGGGCTAGTAAATGCGTTAGCCCGCGATGACCCGAGTACTGGTCGTACCTTTTATATAGCCAACGGAAGACCGGTGGTTGGGGCTTGATCCATGCTCAATTGCTATCTTCATTGTAAATGTCGTGCGTCACCAATATGGAAATAATTAAATATATAAAAAGATATTGCCATGAATAAAAATATTTATTAAATTTCGTTGATTATAAAACTTCACAAAATGTCAGGGCCATTTGTTTCTCTCAAATTCTGACTAGCTCACTTGATTTCCACAAATTAATTAGTTTGAAATTTTATTTTCATAAACTGCCTACATTTGTTAATAGTTACATTTTACGACGTTCACTTCATCGTTTCACCCACCAGATCAACTTCAACAAACACAAACAAACAATGATCTTGTGTTTTATTTAATCACAAAAAGTAGTTTGGAAATTGGATAATATTGTACACTAAAATTTCGCCATAAAAAATCAATAACCTTGAAAAATATTTTTGTAACTTTAATTGTTTAATTTTCGTAAATTATCTGCTCTTTTAAGCTGTGAACAAAATTATGTTAAATGGGTTAAGTAATAATACTGCAGGATAACTTTATAAGAAATTATTCTGTTATAATAATATTGATCGTATACATTTCAAAACAAATATTTTTACACAGGTTACATGCGGAAATCGGGATTATAATTACCTCAAACATGTGTATGATACCAGCTGATTTCACGCATTGAACACATGTTATTAATAATTTATTAATCGCCTCTTAAAATCTAATCAAATGCTCAATTAACAATAAGACCATAATAAAGATAATGACATTGTGCGTTTCTTAATGTGTAATGATAAAATAGTTTGATTTGATTTATTTTGTGTTACGTCAATTTTTGACTACAGATTTTCAGATAACTAAGTACTTAATTGCGTACTTTGTATTAATGAATTTAGTAGTCAAGTAAAAGTATAGGATCGGATTTACATTCGAAAGAACAAATATATTTATCAGAAATTAGTGAATAAAAAATTTCAAGACTTACATGAATAATAAAATTAATATTACTATTATCTTAAAATTAATAAAAAAAAATATTTTAGCTACGACATAGTCACGTGTACACTGCCACATATACGAGGTCTGTTCAAAAAGTACTCGGAATTTTCGTTTTTTCAAAAAAATATTTATTTATTCGTCTACATTAATGTGGTCCCCTTCAAAGTAGTCCCCCCCAGATATAATACACTTATGCCAGCGTTTTTTCCAATTTTCGAAGCACCCTTGATATTCACTTTTTGATATGTCCTTGAGCACTCTCAGCGATTTTCTTCAATCGAGGAAAACCGCCGTCCTTTCATGGGTCTCTTCAACTTTGGGAATAGGAAAAAGTCACACGGAGCCATATCTGGTGAATTTTTGCACTTTGCAACACTTTATTTCATTTTTTACGCAAAATTTAATACAAATTCTTTGACTTTTCAATTCTTCCATTGTAAAAATCGCCGAGCTCAGAAAAACACGTCGAACCTTAGCGACTACCACAGACAAAGTAAACAGTGAATATAGCTGAAAATTTCATCATACTTTAGGGGCATGTATACCAACACAATAAAAAAAAATATTTGACAATCAGACACTCCAGACCCGCGAAATTTAATTATTAGTAATTCCGGGTACTTTTTGAACACACCTCGTATATAATATATGTATATAATAACAATCAATAGCAGTTTTTTTTAAATATCTAAGAAACAATGATAATAACTTTCTGCTAATTTTATTTCTTCAAGAATGTAATATTTTATAAGTCATTGCTTATAAAATTACTTTGCTATGTAAAGTAGAGTTTTGACTCTAGATTTTAATCAAGGTTCCAATTATTAAGTTTCAATTTTTAACATTTAAGTCTTCTATAAATTATATTTCGAATACCATTATCATATGAATATTACAAATTTAATACATCTTACTTATTAAGTCAGAAAGTTTTGAAATAATGCATGTCGTGCATTATTTTCTTAAGACAATAGAATTATTCTGAGTTATTTATAAATAACTTAGGTATAAATACTTAGGTATAACTATAGGTACCTCATAGTATATTTTTTTGACAATAATTTAATCTATTTGTCAATAGTGCAGATTCTATATACATAAATGTCTTAATATCAATGTATAAAAAAATTGATGTATGTGTGTGTGTGTTCGGATACAAATTTTAGTCGTCGATTTCGGGAACACGATTTAACCGATTTGAATGATTCAAAATTATTCGATTTCTATTGATAAGGAGACGTGCTAATTACATTTTGGATAAGGCAGGTCCAGCAGTTTCAAAGATACGGGTAAAAAAGTTACAAAAATGGTAATTCAGTTTTTGACAGAACGGAGCGTTCGATTTGAATAATTTTTTTAAAAAAGCATTCTACTTATATAGACCGAGTAGATAATTTTCCAAATTTCTGGCAAATACAGTCCAGCTGCTTCAGTAATACGGAGAAAAAATTGCAGAACATGGGTATGCAGATTTTGCAAGAATGGAGCAAATTTTTTTCAATTTTATTTTTATTTACTCTACATGTAAACATATATTAACCTCATCGTCCAATTCATGAGATCTTATAATTTGTCTATAAAATACGAATAATGAAAATTTTACAATTTGTAATATCCTATTTGTATATAGAGGGAAGTCCCCCAGTGGCGGACACCTAAGGTTATTTATAAATAAATCAAAAAATATTTTACGAAATGTTTATTAAATTCTGATGTATGTTAGATAACAGAGTTAGAAGTCAAACTAAATTAACAAAAACGCAACCTTTGCTAAAAAATAATTTATACTATCAATCAAACTTTGGTAACAAAAAATTGCATGTCAGAGGCGAGGCTTGGCGCGTGATCCTGTACCTGTGTGCCCCCGCGCTCCTTGCATTTGTATTTTGAAATGGAAAGATTTATATTCGCTTAAATAATACGTTTTAAATAGAGTGTCCGGCGCTAGGTGCCATCCGGCGGTACGGGACTTCCTCCTTGTATTAATAATACATATTTAGTTAGTTAAAATTGCATTCACATGTCACATTACACAATTTTGCAGTTACTGGATCGCGGAAATTGCTTGGCCTATCTTTCACCGATGCCAAGAATTCGAGTCTGGCAGATGATCATGGTCATAACTGCACGCCCGCAGCTATCTTAGATTTTCCTTCCGATGGATTCACCAGGGAGCAAAGAAGACAGGGCTGGGCGCTGGTCCATGCCGTTATCGCATTCTATTGCTTCTGGCTGTTGGCATTAGTTTGCGATGACTACTTCGTTCCAGCAATTGAGATGCTGTGTAAAAGTAAGATATTTCCACACTTTTTTGTAGATTTTGAAGTAATAAATATATACTTGCTTAAAATACATTTGTTAGAATAACTCATAAAATTATCAATTCGTTGTTTGTTTTTCATTTTTTCATTATATGCATTATTGAATTACTAAAATATAAATATATAAAGCATAATTTATTATCTTGGCAATAAGTCAATAGAGTCAAGATTCTCCGGTAACGGTTACTTTCAAAGTTGGCACCACTGTACAAAAATTTAGGTGTTATGAGGAAATTGGAATAAATCATATTAATATTAATTTGATAAAAATAGAATAAACCAAAATTATCGTATTCACTTATCCTTATTGTTCTTTTAAGGTTTTGCCAGAACCAAATTTATATAGCTATTCAAGCACTAGAATTTACAAAAACAGCTCAATTAAGGGGGTGTTAAATTTTTAGGTAATTCTTAAATCATCGTCAAAAAGGGAATAATTTTAAAAAAAAGGTACGTAACTTGTCCACGATTACATCCCAACTAGTAATCCGAAATAAAAAAAGGTAATTAATCTAGAATGATGTCGTAATGGTATTACGTTGAAATAAAAATTGACAAAATGTTTGAAAAAAGGATCATTTTCTTACCACTTTTTTGCGTTTCTCAAATTTTGGGAAAATCGTAAAAATTAAATTTGGAGAGTAGGCTAGTGTATGCCAGAGTGAAATCTATAAAGAAGATTCACTGGAAATTTCAAGAAAATCGGCCCAGTAGAACTCAGACTCGAAAAAATCGTGTTTAAAGTTTTACTAAAGGAAGTAAACAGAAGAGGATCATCATAACCAAACAGCTCCGAAATCTCTGAACAGTATCTCCGAAAATAAATCAAATTTTAACTAGTGGGGCGCATGGCATCGTGCCTTAAGGCAAATTGCTGGAACTTTCCGTACCAAAAATTATTATTTTTTAAAAAGATTAACATTTTTGAAAAAAAATAGATTTTCGAGAAACTATAAATTTTTGACAAAAATTTACTTTTTCTGAAAAAAAAATGTTTTCTTTATTTTGAAATATTTTGGATATTCTGAACTTTTTTTCAAAGCAATCGTATACTGCTTTAACAGCATAGATGAATTATCGAAGCGCGTAAGCGCCGAGTCGCCATCTAACGGATAAGCATTAGTACGGAATCCTTAGGAATGTAAACACTATTTATACTTATTGTTAAAATTTCTATAAAATATCTGATAATTTGATGTGCATATGTCTAATGATCATTTTTGACCGCCAATTGGCTTTTTTTTTTCTTTTTTCACTAGATCTCCGAAACCGCTAGACCCGTCTTCATGAAAATTTGATCAATTCTTCATCTTATCAATACAAGTAAATTGTTTTTTGAATTATTAAAATCGGACACTCCGTTCTCTTAAAAGCTAAGTTACTGTTTGTGGCACTTTGCCCCGTATCTTCGAAAGGGCTAGAACTACTTATGCCAAAAGCTAATCAGCACGCTTCCTTATCAACAGCAATCGAATGTTTTTTGAATAATTGAAATCGGTTGAACCGTGTATGACAAAATATTCAAAAACCTCTGATACGTAAAGTTACATAAAAATTTTCATTTTTGATTGCCATAACGTACCCAACGGGAAGTTAAAAAAGCCTTTGAATATATGTATAGTCTAAAATTCTAAAGCTTTGAAAATAGATAATAAAACAAAAAAAATATTTTGAATTTCTACTCAACACTTTTAATATACAAAAAATGCTGCTATCGGTGCTTTTTTTGTCATGATGTGTTTTTATACTATTGATAATATTTCTAAGTTTGTTTAATTTCTAAGAATTGTATCAAAACACCAAGAGCATATATGCATACATATATTTCTGAATAGAGTTTTGTTTTTTAATAAGTTAATGTTATTTATTTTAAAGTCTTTTATAGAAATCATTTTTACTCGGCTTTTATTCATACAAAATTTAGTTAATTAAATTTTTTTTATTCAGAGTGGAAAAACATTTTGGTCTTCTCTACGGTTTTTGATAATTCTAGTTTTATGTACTTGAAACTGGCTGGATAAAATGTATATATACTGATAACAAATTAAATTATTTTATTTTTTTTTATTCTGGCAAAAATGTAAACATTTAAAATTCTTGCAATCAACATTCGGAATTGTGATCTCAAATTTTTCGTGATATAAAATTTCCATTTCTCGAAATATATTAATACTTAGATATTTCTGTTATTCCAGAGCTAGATATGAAGGAAGATGTCGCCGGAGCTACATTCATGGCCGCTGCCAGTTCTAGTCCTGAATTATTTATTAATTCGGTAGGAACTTTCATAACAGAAGGAGACCTCGGGGTCGGCACGGTCGTGGGTTCATCTGTATTTAATATACTTGCCGTCCCTGCATGTTGTGGGCTCTTTGCTGGAAGGGTAAGTATTAATTTAGATAGGTTTAGTTATTTATGTTTACTTAAAATCATTCTCACATATCTACACTCTTATTTGGCGGAATTAATTATGTTCAAATTATTAATCATAGGTTTGTCTTTTACAATAATTTTAATTAAATCTGGACAATTTTGGATAGAATCAAAAATATTTATACTTGCTTTATATCATGCATTTGTTTATTTACATCACATATGCGTAAGATAAGTTATTGTAATCTTCCAAAAATCTGAAATGAAAGTTTTTGCATATCGTTACGTTTCAAAGATTTCTGAACGTTTTGACATACCTTAGAAAACATTGACGTGCCTGTGTGTATGTATGTATGCGTAGATACAAGTTCTTATCGACGTTTTTTAGCATCACTCAACCGATTTGAATGATTCAAAAAGCATTCGAATCCTACTTATGTGAATTAGTGCTGATTGATTTATGGCAATGGTTGGTCCAGTCGTTTCTGAGATACAAAGCAAAGCGTGCAGAAAATTAAAATTTAGTTTTCAAGAGAACAGAGCAGCTTACGATTTAAATGATTCAAAAACATTCAATTCGTAGTGATGATTAGTTTTTGGCAAAGACAGGTCTAGCTGTTTTTGAGATACAGAGCAAAATGTGCGAAAAATTGTAATTTTGGAGAGAACAAAGCATCAGATTTGAATGATGAAACATTTTGCTCGTGTTGACAGTGTGAAGAAACGATTAGTATTTGGGAAAGGCTTTTTTGAATTAAAAAAAAATAATTTACATTTTTTTTAATATCAAAAATAGCTCGAATTTTAATTGTATTTCTAGCTAGAAATATCAGATAAAATCCTTCATCTAACTACGCTTGATTACGTTTTTTTATTTACTTTTTATGTAAACATATATAAACGTTGTCGTCCAATTAATAAGCTCTTAAGATTTGTCTGTAAAATATGAACAATTGATTATAGTATCTGTAAGAGTTTATTTGGAAACGTTTAATATTTTTCAAATATTTCATTATGGTTCGAGAAGTTCTAGCAACTTGCCCTGAGGCATGATGCACCACTAGTATAACATTTTGGTTATAAATCTAAAATTTCATTTGATTTGTTAGTTAGTTTAATTCTGATGATTTGTTTTCATTTCACTAAATGTTATAACAAAAAATTTAATCAGAATTTTTACAATCTAATGTACGAGTGGTTTTTTCACAAACCTTTTCACAAATTTCTCGTGATGAATAAATCAAATTTTACATTTTTACATAGGTAGTAGATTTAGATTGGTGGCCAGTAACTCGGGATTCTGTCATGTATGGATTTGCCGTAGTTGCCCTTATTACTACTTTATTAGATGGAAAAGTTATGTGGTATGAAGCCCTAACCCTAGTACTGGCTTATATATTTTATATTGCAGGTGTGTATTAAATTATCAAAACACAATTGATAATATAAGTTATTGAATATAGTTAGTATTTGTCTAATATTTTTCGAGGAAGCATTAAATTAATGATTAGTTCAATTTCTTAGTCTATTGAAATTGAAAAAAACGTTTTCACACGTGTATTTTCAATCCATTTCTGATTAATGTTAATAATCAAAAAAGTTATGTCAATCTATGAGGAATTTTTAATACCTACTTTAAATAAAACATAAAACTCTGATTGAAATATATTTAAAAGAAAACAACTCGAGAAATTGAATTATAACTTGTTATATATCCAGATGGAAATTTATTAATCAGAAACGAATATTAAAGAAAATTTTATTGGGTAAATCAAATACCCTTAATTACCTATTTTTACCTTATTGGGTAAAATAGACCTTCTATTTTTAAATTTAATACTTTTATGTTATATATTCGAAACTGATTGATTAGGTTTGATGATTAGTCACCCGCCGTCATCTGCCCCTAATGGAAAATTTTAAGCTTCCACTTCAAATAGAAATTTATTATATGAAAGAAGAATAACTTTTTAATAATATTTGATTTTAAATAAAATTCAGCTATGTACTTCAATGATGTGATGAGTGACAGCGCCCGAGACTTTGTCCGAATGTGCTGTGGAAAAAAGAAGACCAAGAAGGATATTGCCTTGTATAGAGAAATTATGACAGAAGCTTCTCCTCTTCTTCTACAGGGTATGTTTAAATACATAATTAAATTTATATATGTATATGTATATATATATATATATATATATATATATATAGCGAGAGGTTTTTCTTCAGATGGTGAAATAATATAATAAAATTGTTTCTTGGGCATCCATCCAGTAATTAAAAAACAGTTTTAATGAAAAATGTTTTTATTTATAGAGAACATACGTTTCGGGTCTGGATTTGACCCATCTTCAGTGCTACAATTAAATAATTCAGGGTACAAAAATTAAAACAATATAAAAAAATACATAATTAACAGACAAAAATAAGTAAAACAATGTATATGAAAAGTATATATGAAAAACAACCATAAAATAAACAATGTAAAGAAATCACCATACAAATAAACTTTGAAAAACAACACAAAAACACAAAATTGCACGAAAAATAAATAAAAGTGAAATAAAAAATTGATGATGAAACGTCGAGTTATGAAAAATTTAAAAAAAAAAAAATGTAAAATTAAATGAATGATATATTTTATTATAAAAAAGCTTATTCCAAACGAACATGTTGTTAGTTGGAAGTTGTATTACGAGTGTGTACGAGAGTAAAATGTGTGCGAACGTGTTTGCGGAAAATACTGGAAACTGTATCGTCATTGGTGAGAGAACGGGATAGAGAGAATTTTGGTGGTTCCATATTACGAAGATTTTCTCAACGATCATGCGCAGTAGGAACATAGTAAAAAATTTATACATGTGCAAGACATCCATAATCAAATCCCAAAAATATGTGAATGAAGAGAAAATTATTAAGAAAAGTATAGATATTAACAGAAAAACGATAATAGTTATGGAACGATAAAAGTTACATAAAAAATTATAACATAACAAATATATGTATATATAAACGCAAAACAATAAATGTAATATATGTATACACATATACATACACATATATGCATACACAAAGAATATGTAGAATACATAAAAGAAATGTTAGGATGTATTGCGCATATTGAAAAAATTATTTGAAGCATCGCGGTAAATATTGCAAAGAGAAGCCGAATCAAATCGTTTGTTAATAGAAGGTAATATTTGTATGAAAATACTCTCAGCGAACTTCCTGCGTAAAATGTTAGATTCACGATGAACTCTTGGATTGGTGAAATTAAAAGAATGTTTAAATTTGGAGACATGCTCGGTGATCATGGTTTTATTTTGTTTCTGTTCAAACTATTAAGTTCGTGTTGGCGCATTCTTTTTGAGAGAAATTGTGAAGTTTCTCCAACATAACAGCTTGAACAATCATTACAATCAATGACATATACGATGTTTGAAGTGCGGGAAATAGGGGTAGGAGTTTTTAAATTAGTGTATAAGTCTGAGAGAGTGTGTCCAGTCGAACACACTAGCTTCAGACCAACGGATGAAAAAAGTTTTTTCCATGAGTGGAAAAGGCGGTCAATGTACGGTAATGAGATGAAGGAATTGAGAGATAGTGAATTTTCAGGAGGCTTCACAAGGTTTTGTGAAATGATACTATTTTGTTGTGATTGGGAGGTAAATAAGGAAGCTGTGCGGAATTATTACGAAGAGAAGGGTAATCTATATATTACTGAGCGTAAAAGTTGTAGTGGATAGGAATTATTTTGAAGGGTAGAATATATCAAATTAATATTTTTTTTCCCAATGTGATGGATGAGAAAGAAGGATGGCATGATTAGTAAGTTGATGATGGATGCAATCTTGGTAGATTTGGGGTGATAGGAATGGTAGTTAAATAGCGTCCAGACCAAGTGGATTTTGATACCAACATGTAGTGATAGAGTTGTTATTTATGAAAAGAGTAATATCTAAAAAATTAATGGAGTGTTAAATTGAGTCTCTAAGGTAAAACTAAGGTGTGAGTCAAAAATATTAAAAGAATTTAGGAAATTGGTTATGTTATAAGTAGGAATGCAAGTTAAAATGTCGTCAACGTAACGTTTGTAAAAAAGAGGGTACATATGACAAGGTATTAAGAGTAGAGTTTCTAGGAACTGCATACAAAGTTCAGCAAGAGGGGCACTCAAACTGGAACCCATTGGGGTGCCAAATTTTTGTTTAAAAAAGGAGTCGTTGAACGAAAAATAGGTATTGGAAATAATGATTTAATACATTTCAGGAACCAAGAAAATTGAAATTGTGTGTTTGCTGATATCAGCCCATTTATGGTCTATGGTCTATGGATAGGAATTATTTTGAAGGGTAGAATATATCAAATTAATATTTTTTTCCCAATGTGATGGATGAGAAAGAAGGATGGCATGATCTAGTAAGTTGATGATGGATGCAATCTTGGTAGATTTGGGGGTGTGATAGGAATGGTAGTTTAAATAGCGTCCAGACCAAGTGGATTTTTGATACCAAATGTAGTGATAGAGTTGTTATTTATGAAAAGAGTAATATCTAAAAAATTAATGGAGTTGTTAAATTGAGTCTCTAAGGTAAAACTAAGGTGTGAGTCAAAATTATTAAAAGAATTTAGGAAATGGTTATGTTATAAGTAGGAATGCAAGTTAAAATGTCGTCAACGTAACGTTTGTAAAAAAGAGGTACATATGACAAGGTATTAAGAGTAGAGTTCTCTAGGAACTGCATACAAAGTTCAGCAAGAGGGGCACTCAAACTGGAACCCATTGGGGTGCCAAATTTTTGTTTAAAAAAGGAGTCGTTGAACGAAAAATAGGTATTGGAAATAATGAATTTAATACATTTCAGGAACCAAGAAAAATTGAAATCTGTGTGTTGCTGATATCAGCCCATTTATGGTCTATGGCAGAGAGGATAAGGTCAGGTG